ATTTTTTGCGCCGCGCCGAAGCGCGACGCCCCTTATGGAATGAAATCAGATTTTGTGAAAGGGCAATTGCAACTTCTCGGGCCTTTTCGTCGGGCATAATAGCCGAACATTTTGATTGGTATGAGGGTGTTTGATTATCAAAAATGAAATGTCGCCATATGTACATTGAATAGCGAACTGGGTAATTTCGCAATGTAAACATATTTAAATAATATTATATTATCCGTCAATTAATCGCGCTCTTCGGTATTTTATTAATCATTTTGTAGTACACAGAGGGTTATTATGTGTGTTATTGCTTTACCTATAAATAGTATGATGACCTTAACATTGTGAAAGTCCAAAACTCTATTTATATATAGAAGTAGTTTTAGTTTAACGAAACGGTCATTCGTGTCACGCTATGGTAATAAATAACGAATTGGAGAATTTTGCGAACATATTAAAACAATTAATTGCACTCTTTAAGTAGGCAATTTTAACGAATTGTTATATCATAGGATTATCATTTTTCGTCTGCAATTTTAAACATGATTTGTTATGGGTTTATTGATAGGAATGTAAACACACTGATGGTCAGATGAGGGTTTTGAAGTAATTTATTAAAACAGTAGATTGACCTAAATAAATCAATCAACAGACTTTGTTAATTTCCACTATCATTTTGTATGTTCCAAAGAAAATACCACATGAACCTGAAATTCTATCAAATAACCAATATTAATGATAATATCAAAAAATACACTCTATATACTATTAGTATAAATAAACTTACACTATATAGGGGGGGGGGGTATATTTTGGATATTATAGAACTGTATATTTTGGAAATTATCATTAATATTGATAGAATTAAAGTTCCTGTGGAAAAAAACATTTAATATTCAAATCTCTAGCATGCCTACCAAAGTTCATGATGAACAATGACTTTCATCCGCCCATTTATAAATGATATACAATACTGGACACTTGAAACCAATTAACCATTGAAAGGTTTATAAGAATATCTGGTCATCAGATGTGCACTAGTTCATACTTACTTGCTGCATTTCTTGCTTGGACGCATTTTGATGCTTTGCATCAATGCTTTTCTTGTGGTATTTTGTAATGAACCCAAAATGAAAACATTGTTATATCAAACTAAACGTACTGTAATATCCAACTCAACCACACAAGTAATATATACCGTTATATCCAACTTGCCTACAAGTTATATGTACTGTTTTATCCAGCTTCCCGTCAGAAAGCTATACATATTATGTTATATCCGACTACAGAAGCAATAAATATCGTCATATCCAACTTGGAGACAGATGCTATATGTATTGTAATGACAAACTTGCCGACGGATGCTATACGTAATGTTACATCCAACTTGCCGAAAGAGGCTATACATACTGTTATATCCAATTAATCGACAGTGGCTATATGTTGTGTTATATCCAACTTGACGACCGTGATAATTCGTACTGTTATATCCGACTTGCAAACAGAGGCTATACGTACTGTTTTATTCAACTTGTCGACAGAAACTATACATACTGTTATATACAACTTGCCAACAGAAGCTATACGTACTGATATATTCAACTTGTCGACAGAGGCTATACGTACTACAATAACCAAATTGACGACATAAGCTATATATACCATTATAATTATACCACTTATCTAAAGTGGCTATACGTACTGTTATATCTCACTTGCAGACAAGAGCTTTATATATTCTTATAAACAACTTGCTGACAGAAGCTATAAATACTTATAAATACATCTTGCTGACAGAAGCTATAAATACGGTAATATTCAACTTGTCGACGAAAGCTATATACATATAATGTATAAAGTTATATCCAGCTTGCTGACAGAGGCGTTACATATTGTTGCATCCAACTTGTCAACAGAAGCTATACATACTGCTTTATCAAGCTTACAGACAGAGGCTATAAATACCGTTATATTCAACTTGTAGATAGAGGCTATTAATAATGTTATATCCTACTTGCTGACAGAGGTTATGCATATCGATACATCAAAATTTCGGGCAGAAAATATTCAAACTGTTGTTTAAAAACTTGCCGACACAAGCTATACAGATGTTATATCCCACTTGAAACCAATAAGAATTTATCTGTACCAAAATCACCGACAAGAACATTGCAATGGAACAGGAACACAAGAAAAAAGATCTGTTTCGCAGGTGCAATTCCGCGGCGATAATTTTATATACAAATTCAAATTTTCTTTTTTATATAGATAGGTTAAAATGTACAATACTAAACAGCACAATTTACATTGTCTTAAAATTATAACGTAAACAATTCAATATGTAAAACATTATTTTTCCCTGTTGTGAAACATATTTTCTGAATGTTTACTGGTGCCTTGGCGGACTCCTTACTTCTCAATTCATTTAAGGAAAAGTCTTTCAAATTGTAATGTCAAGAGAAAAATGCATTAACATGTAATATACAGAAAATTCAAGTTTTTTTCTTTAAATACAGAATTGGTTCCATCTTGAGTTATGAAAATTATCATATTACACTTCTGGCTACCCCCAGTCATGAACAATTCATTTTCATATCACCCGATGATTATTCTGCAATAATAGTGAAAAATGAATATCCTATATATACTGCAAACTACGAAATGAAAACATATAGTCAGGAACTGAAACATTACCACAATAGTTTTCGTATGAAATCAGCAAAAGCATGTTTTTGACTTGACCTTTTTTGCTGGATTTAAAAGTACATCAATATTTACTCAAGGCCCTGTCACACTAGTCAGCGCTTTTACTGCGTGTGCACGGCGTTGTTAAATTGAACAAAGCGCCGAGAGATCGCAAGACAAATCTGATATTTTTGATGGCATGGAGACTTCACGGCGTCCGCATGGCAATCATGACGTTGCTACGGAGCTTCCAGGGCATTAGTATGGGTTCTTACGGCATTTTAATTGACGATTGGCTGCGTTCGGACTGTCCTTCTACTTCTCACGGCGTATACACGGCGCTCACACTGAATCGTGCTTCATATACCACCGATTTCGAATAGTGCTATACCTGTTGCATCTGCATGCAAGCAAGCAATATTCCAGCTTGCTGCCGTTCATCATCCATGGTGCAAAGGACATTTACTTGCAAACACGTTTTATATGAAAGCCCTCTATTAAGACCATCAAATGGACTGGACTAAAGTGGTCTAAATTGCGGATGTTCTTAAATGTGGATATAATAATTAAGGCATATATATTTCATGATCACGCTAATTGAATTATTATGTATAAACATGTTTAAACAATTATATTATAACCCTCAAATATTATTATAAAATTATTTTATAATATTTAATCATAATTAGCATAAGTCTGACGATATTTGATATCAAAGTAGGTCTTGTTTCATATACACAATTCACCTATTAATTAAGAAATCAATTCTCACAAATAAATGTGCAGAAAGTAACATTTATTTTATTTTCTCACCTTTACACAATTTTCCAATCATAACAGTTTTAAGACATTGTTTCAACAAGCAAATGAATAACAACAAACTTGTGATATGAATAGGTATTGACTGGCATATCAATGGTCCAAATAATTGGGTTACATAAATAAAACAATGAATTGGAACTGAAACTGGTGGTTTTAAAAGTGGATAAATGGGGTGGTCTGTATTATTGATCATGTAACCATTAACATACCGAACAGAAAATTCCAGTATTTTAGAAATTAGTCTTAATAGAGAGTTGGTCTTAATTCGGGGGTGGTCTTAAGTAGGGATTCTATTGTACTGTATTTTCAATTTCAGGTGAACCCAGTGAAATCGCCGTGTGGCGGCTGTAAAAAGTCTCCCCGTACATTTAATCAATGATGTTATATTTTCGATCCTTGAAGATCGTTCAGCACGACATTATTGTTGTGCTTGTAGTATTTTTAGTTTCAACTTTTCGGCATTTTCTAGTTGGGTGGTTCCAATATTCCTACTTGAATAATGTTGAATCACCCTTAGGATATGTTGCCTGCTTTTTAAATTTGTCTTTTGACGTCTTATCTGTGATACGCAGGCTTCATAACCTCTGATCCACTTTCAAAATTCCATTTTGTTTAGTTCCGCCCATTGTTTTCTCGTTTAGGGCAAACGCTTTTTATTACTTGGGGACCATACGCCGCTTTTCATGGAATGGCACGAAAGTGTCACATTGAAGGTTCCATGATAACCGCCGTATGAGCACATCTGCGGATGTTTCTAAATTCAAAATTTTACTATTTCATGTTTAAATGTTGAATTCTGCTTAAGCCGGTGCTAGGGGGCGTGGACGGTAACTTGCACTTTCCAGTACCGTCCATGAACATGCTCAATCAAACCGAGCCTGCAACATTTTCAATTTTGCCGTGTTGGGCTTTCTTTAGGGATTCTGTATTTATCTATTTTGAGAGCGCAATGGACGCCGTGGCAGTGCCGTGAAGTTGCATTTAGAGCGTTTTAGAAAATTAAAGCTCCGTTAAAGCGCCGTACACACGCAGTATAAGCGCGATCGAGACGCCGCACAATCTCCGTACAAGCGCCGTGGTAAGCCACGCGCGTTTTTCGGCGATCCTTTTGCGCTTTCACGGCGTTCCTGTTGCGTTGTTGGAGATGTTACTGAGTTCTGCGGCGTCCTTATTGCGATCCCGCGGCGCTCTTATCAGAACGCCGAGTGACGGTGTTTGTTTTGAGCATGCTAAAAATGCACGCCGTCTGTCGGCGTTCTATGCGATACCACGATGCGGCGATGCTGCGGTGATGTTTGCGATCTTACTGCGCTTTCTTCGGCGTTCTGAATTTTCTGTGGATGCCGTGAGAACGCCACCCTAGTGTGACAGGGGTTTTACCGCTTTGCTTGATTATTATTTGTACATCAATATTCACTTGCCATTCTGTTTTTTTTCTATAAAAGTATATCTTTTTTACTTACCCTTTGTTTGATTGTTAAAGAAATATAGTAATTTTTACTTACCCTTCTTGCGAATTTGATATTTTTCCTCCTCTGTCTGTATTGGTGAGACACCTTCGCTACTTTTCTCTGTTACCAAATAGATACACATTTAATCGTTATATTTCTTGATAAATTTTCTAAATACGCTCCTTTTCCAAGTCCTATAAAACGTAATATTGTCAATTAACAAGTAAACTTTCAAACATTGCAGTTTATTCCATTCACATACATGTATATATATTTCTCCTCAAGGTATTAAAAGCTGTTGACGATTTTACGAACAGTTTTCTAAATACATTATGAATAAATAAAATCATGTTTGACCTTACGTTTTCAGTAGCAATTATGTATAGAGACATAATCAATATAAGTTCTTTGTAATTTACACTTATTCTTGTCAGTATTTTTCATAAAATCAACACTTATCACGGTTTGATAAGTAAGGTCTTTTTTACAACACTAATCTGTCAGATATTCAAACATATATTTATTGTTATCAAGCATTATCATTTTATAGATGTTTATGTTGTGCAATCAATATTTATAATGATAAACAATCACAAATAATTAAAACTTAATAATACAAAATAAATCATAACTGACTCTTGTCGTTTTTCTATCGCCTTGATTTGTTTTTCCACTCCAATAAACTTTTCTTGTACTTCCTTCTTCACTCCAATAACATCTGTTTGCACTTGTATTCAAACATATATTTATTGTTATTAAGCATTATCATTTAATAGATGTTTATGTTGTGTAATCAATATTTATAATGATAAACAATCACAAATAATTAAAACTTAATAATACAAAATAAAACATACCTGACTCTTGTCGTTTTTCTATTTCCCCGAGTTGTTTTTCCACTCCAATAAACTTTTCTTGTACTTCTTTCTTCATTCCAATAACATCTGTTTGATCTTGTATTCAAACATGTATTTATTGTTATTAAGCATTATCAATTCGTAGATGTTATTGTTGTGCAATCAATATTCATAATGATAAACAATCACAAATAATTTAAACAGAATAATACAAAATAAAACATAACTGACTCTTGTCGTTTTTCTATCGCCTCGAGTTGTTTTTTCACTCCAATAAACTTTTCTTCTACTTCTTTCTTCACTCCAATAACATTTGTTTGATCTTGTATTCAAACATATATTTATTGTTATTCAGCATTCTTATTTAATAAATTCTAATGTTGTGCAATTAATATTTATAACGATAAACAAACACAAATAATACAAAACTAAATAAGAAAAAATAAAACATACCTGCATCTTGTCGTTTTTCAATCGCACCGATTTTTCCCTCCACTCCAGTAAACTTTGCTTCTACTTCTTTCTTCACTCCAATAACATCTGTTTGCACTTGTTTCATCTCCTCGTCCAATCGGTCAACAACGGCTTCATAGTCCTTCCACCTTTTTACTTCTTCTTGTAATCTTTTTTCTTCCTCCGGATCCAAAGGGCAGGCTTTGAAATCGGCAATTTCTTGCTGGATGTTCAGAGCTGCAGGACTTCGTCGAACAAGTATCTGAAAGGAATCCGATTGGACTAAGAAGCTTAGCATGAGATAATTAATTTATTTTCCAGAAATAGGTTTCTGCGTTCGTTTATTCAATAATTTTAAAAATTTACTATACGAATGCTAGAAGATCATTGAATAAAATATATTAGGATAAAATAAAACAAATAAACGCATTGTTCAAGTATGGCTGATTTTCTTGAAAATCAATTTAACAGGTGCATCATCTTTAACACGACGTTAAAAAAGGCTATTAATAATATTGAAGAAACAGCAAGTATATATATTATGGAAACCCATTTGTCCTTTGGAATGCTAGTTAGTTTGTAGAAACAAATAACTAATGAAATAAATAAGGTCAATATAAAAGCAGATGTAACCGACGAAGAGCAACGTTTAAACATGTTTATTTAGTAATAAACTCGTTTGTGAAACAAGTTCTTGCAACATATATTAATCACTTTCGAATCTGCTTCTTTGAACCAACCAGTACTGGCTGGTGTCATATGAAGAAACATGGTAGTGACCAAAGGGGTACGGCCCATTGAATGTTTACTAAATATGTGTTTGATAGCAGAAAAAACATTTATCTTAGCTAAGTCATAAATGAATTCCATGTCAATTCCCATTACAAAATATACTAATACTAAGTCAAGGGTAACAACTCAATAAGCTTATGTCTATGCCCAAACGGAGTTTTCGCATCGCATTTTTCGAACGATACAGCATAAATAAAAAAGAAATTATGCAATATGTAGTCAAATAATTTATCTTTCGAACTCATGTAATTTTTTTTATCTCTCTTATACTTATAAAGGACTGGCCGCCGAAATAACAAAAAGTATTAATTTACGCGAGGTCGACATCGATCTTGGCTACGCAGGAAACACAAAGTTACACTTCTGTTACAATCGTTAGAGATAATATCACAGCATTTATTATGCAGGACAATCAAAACTACATAAAAGTAAAGAGTACTTCCCCGTTAAAATTTCTAGAAAAACACTGCTATCTTGGCAAATATAAACAACCTTCCTCTGATTGGTCGTTTTCTTTTTTTGGAAATTTACAGGTATATTTTCGGGAATTTAATTGACCTATCAGAAAACCGTTAATTTTATTCACCAAGATGGCGGTGATTTAGAAAAATTTCAACGGGAAAATGTAGATTCAATTCTTAATTCATTGGCAAATTTCATATCATTACAAAGGCCCATTATTCTCCAGAAATGAATTTTATCCATGATTTTAAATTTAATTTAAAAAAAGCGCATAAGCATTTTTAAAGTCATTTAAAAGCAAACTAGTTAAAATGTAAATATATACTTTATTTGAAATATCGACTTAGATAACTTTCATTTCAATTGCTATTACATAACTCTCTTGGAGATATGAATTCGAGGCACTTACGGATTAGTACACAATGTTTTCAAACCATTGTGCTCACCTGCTCAATGTCATTCCACCAAGTTACAAAATCATTAGGTTGTATTCCAGTTGTTGTAGGTAAATGGCATATCTGAAATGATTATTCGCGTAACAAATGTAATAGCAGATATATCCCTGCATTCGTCTGTGTAATGAAAATATTAAAGTAAACGTTTAATCAGAAACATGTTTGACATTTTTAGCGCATTGCATGTCATGGAAACGAGACCTATTAATAAAATGACGGAGTTCCTTAACGTGAGACCGGAAGGTACGCCAGACAGTCATAGAAAATAATTCAATGTGCACAACACAGGAAAATCATGAAAAGTTCACTTAAAACATAAGACTTTTATTTCAGAAATTATATGTCATTCTTCAGTCACATTGAAAGTTTTCAAGTTGTAATGACTTTTCTACAACATACTTACTTCATTTCGATAAGCTTTTAATCGACATATATCTGCTTCAACTGTTAAATCGGTTGAAATGGGTTTTGTTTTCCAGTCAAATTTCTTATTTAATCCAAAACACTTTAAGCATCTTAGAAGACATATAATAAGCGTAAAGTCCATCTCTGACGTAGTTGGGGCTTGGCGACCCGTTGGAAACAATGTGTCATATTGTACCTGTGTTATAACGCCGCTACTTTTCAAACGTGTAATTATCGCCTTCTCGTTATTTAAACATGCACTTAAAGTTATGCCTTTAGCAGTCAGGATCTGGTCAATTAAATTTCTTAGAACAAGTAGGCCTCCATCTATGATGATAATTTGTAAACGGAATAGATGAACACGGTTGTCTGGCTTCTGTGCCATTTTCTTACCAGTTTTTGTTATCGCATCATCTGTTAACAAACAAACATGATAATTATTTTGGAATAGTGTACAATTTATTTATTGATATTTTAAAAATAAAACAAGAAGTCAACATGTTTTCAAAATTATTCTTGTTTATAGTGATATTTATTTGTTGGATCGTTTGATGAAAATAATAAAACAAATATTTAGATATTGATATTTAAATGATATTGGTATTGATAGAGAAATAGCCATATGCATATTTTAATTTGTGTGTTTTCAAGGTAGAATCCTTTGTTATCCGTAACCTATACATGGTGTCATTATAAAATATCGGAAAACGTGGTGAGCATTGATACTAGCTTATCTTTAGTATTTTTTCGTGGATTCTTTTATAATTTTTTAGCGATTATATAGCATGTATTATGAAAATAAAGATCATCAAGGGTTAACAACATTGCACACCATGGCACAAAAAATAGCGGCAGACAAACGGAAATATGGAAGAGATACACAGATAGCAATGAAAAGGAAAAAACCTTATCAGACAGGTGAATCTAATAAATATGAACGCTATTTCCAAACACTTCTACAAGGGCCATCAGTGATGACATGTGTCCATACCTTGGCAAAAAATGATTCAACTGCGTATGCACAAGAGTTTGAGCTATCGATAATATCATTAAAATTGCATTAGTGATATAACAGGAGTAGTCCGACAAATTTCATATATAAAATTACGAAAGAGCCAAAACGCTGACTAAAAAGCATTAAACCATAAAAATCCGATGATATGCACAACAAGACTTGGTGCTGAAAATTCGTTTTAAGTTTGGATGAAATTGCACCAATAGTTTTTGAGTAGTCCGGACAAGCTTATGTTTATCTGGCAACACAAAAAACAAACCTTTTTTTATTCAAGGGCCATAACTCGGCCAAAATATCATTCAACCGAAAAACACACGCAACATGCGCAAGGACTTGAGTTACAGATCAATCCTATAAAGTTTCATTGAAATTGCATCATAGGTGTAAGAGGAGTAGTCCGGACAATCTTTATTAATATCCTTTTCATCCAAGGGCATAACTGGGCCAAAAATCATACAAGCAGAAAACCGAGTACTATGCGCAAGTACTTGACCTACCAATCAATCCTGTAAAGATTTATTGAAATTGCATTAGTGGTATAAGAGGAGTAGTCTGAACAAAATTTAAAAAGCTGGCTTATGGAACGTCGGTGGTTTTACTCAGGTCCCCGTGGGACCAGAGTCTTTCGTGCTACACTTCGTCTAATTCTAACTGGTAATTTATCAATCATTCATGTTCTTCATTTAAAAAACGGCGCATGCATTAGTTTTGTTTATTTACCCTCATTAAGTATTATGTTATCAATATTTTGAGAGGTGAATGTCATTTCCATTTTGAAATGTCCACATTTTTACAGGGAATTTTTCTTTCTATTTCAAGATCAATTTAAGTAAGTGCATATCTGTTCATAACATCAATGAACAGAGTTAAGTGTTTATAATATTAAATTTATAATTGAGATATTAAAATAACTTTTACAAATACGAACAATAGAATAAGTTAAGTTAAATAATTTATATGTTCTGTATCAACTTTAATGGTAGAGGCCCAAGAACAAACATCAATACATAATGCGGGTTGTTTGCCTGCTACATTTGCTCAAAACGTAAAATTGTCAAAGTTTCTTTTCTGTATGTTTTTATGATAATGTTAAAATGTTATTTTTCCAATTTTGATTTTAGAAATTTTATAATCAGAATCAATATTGACAGTATTACAGAATCGCATTATGAAATATCAAAATAGAATGGATAATGGATATTATTAAATCAGCAAACTACTTATAGACGTTGTATTTTATTTTTATAATTCAATGTAAACAACCATGATGAAAATAAAAATAGAAAAATATAAAAAACTCGACCGGATGTAGTTTTTTTATCGCGCATGCGCAACCTGCGTAGGGCAGAAGACCATCACCCTACATAGAAACGCAGTAGAAGTTCATCAGTTCTCGGTTAAAATATAATAAATATTGCTATACAAGGATGTGGAAATGATGATTTTTTCAGCTCTTTGCGAGCACGTCCGACTTGAAAATCATTTAGATAATTGTTGTAAAAATGTGAAAATAGATTGTTTTGTCAAGAAAAAAGATCTGCTTGATTCTTCTTGAGAAAGTTAAACATGTAAAAACTAAAGATATTTACGTACAAATGTAACATAATTATGATATTGAAGTTCATCTTTTTGACACTTAAAACCTTACCAGTCCACTCAATCACGGGAACTACACCGTAACAATTGTGGTAATAATACTTTATCTTCTTTCAATTTAAATAAGTGGTGAAAAGGTCGTCCAATGATACTTAAATAGAGGAGTTTTGTATGCCCTTTTGGATCATTGAATTAGTCTTGGATATATTAATGACACCGAGTATTTTATAGGACGATATTTCCAAGTGACGCATCTCAGCACACTTAAATGCAAGAGATGATTAAATTCTTATGCTTTTATACGAAGGTTCTTTTGCCGGAATCAAATGCATTATTATGGGTCTTTCAAACATGAAATACCCTCATACAGAAATGTTCTAGGTAATTACTTAGATCAATCATTGCATTGGTAATTTATTAAAATATACTATTCTGAATTTATTGTTAAATATTTCGATTATATCAAATTGTAAATGAAGTTATTAAATACTGATAAAATGTATTATTTCGTTATATTCCTTTTGCCCTACGCAGAATACGCATGCGTGAGATGCTATTTCCGTTACTATGGGAATATCGTAGAGTAAAGAGACCTATTAGCCGCTGTAAAACCTTTTTTCAAACCGCTTTGGTTTCACAAAACAAAAGCAATTGTGATACTTTGAGATAGGCCTAAATGTGGTTCATAACACCACCAACCACATTTATTGTGTTAAAGTTTGGAGGTCTAAAGCCAAATTTTAACTCCACATACAAATGGAACAGTTTATTTTGTTTACAGCTGATTTTTACTGCCAATAATAATTGTTAATTTTGTATTTACTGAATTTCATTTTACAATTAATTAGTTTTATCGAAATGAAATTTGAGAAGGAAGTATTAATGAAATAATTAGTGTTATAATTCTACGGAATTGCAACACGTATAGAAATACTGAGAAACACTGAACATCCGAAAAAAAAGTAACATTGCTTATATAAAAATACTTATGTTTAAATTGGAAGAATAACCAATGTGATAATTTACTGTCACCTAAATGAACATGCCGTGAACTCAATTTCTTACACCAACATCTACGCATTCGGTAGGCAAATATATTTATAAATACTTTTTTAGTATGCAAGCATATATAAAGATATTGTTATTATGAACATTATAGAAATTGAACACATCAATGATCATACATGTATAATGTATTGGTCATTTATTGAAAATCGTTAACTGTGGCTACCTAATAACTTTGGAATTTTGTCTTTTTTCGATATTTTAAATGAAAACTATTTTGATACTCAGTTCTTCTCGGTAAATTTTACAGGAAGTCAAACTAACTCAAGACGGCGTTCGGCCAGAATATAAAATATGATAAACAAGATCATCAGGAAAAGCGGCGTTCAATGAACGCAACCCCCACCCGACCCAGCAACAAGAACCAGCGGCAAGGAGTCCAGGAAGGCCCCAAACAAAAAACAGGACAGGGCAATAAAGTCACAATACCATTTTCATGAGCTAATACTTTGGATATGTATGCAAACTGTTACCTTGTATCATTAAATACACTAACATACGTACTCAAAAGCCTCGGAACTCTATAAAATGATATACATGTAGATATATCTCTAAATCTAACCAGTTTGTATTTTTTCTCATGTTAAATGGCCCATTTTGAAAATTGCCCTCTTTGCGATATTGAGACAAGGTGCTTTCTACATCTACCTAGCCTCTTTGGAGAAAGAAATGATCGACGTTTCAACCATTGTTAAACCTAGCATGATCTTCTGAAAAAAGGCAAGGCACAGATAATAACGCCTCATCTGCTTCTTATCAACTGTTGATGTCTTGGATACAAACAGGATTAACTTACTTAGTGCAAGATCATCCAAAAGAATGGACCGAAGTCTATCCTGTGACATTAGTTTATATATCTCTGTAACTCCAATAACTCAACCATAACAATGTCATGGGCCAAACTGGGTTGCAGCAGTAACGGGTCTACGTTATTTCATTAGCCAGCTATGTTTTAAGTCTTCAAGGCATTTTATTTCATTGTAGAATATAAAGGGGTATAACTAAAAACTGCATCAAGTCGTCAAAACAATTTATCAATCAGCCCTCGCAGTATTTCAGTTTCAAAATTCTAGTAATCGAAGCTGGCTTAAGATACTTTTTTTCTTCAAACGTGACATTTACGTGAAATATCAGGCGATAATTCTACCCCTCTAATTAAACGTGAACGTTAAAAATTAATATGACTTTTTTACGCCTGTTTTTAACTTTTGTCTTGTCTGGGGCTATGAATCCTAACTTTGCATTCATACACAACCTATCTATATTCACTTACTTTAATAAACATAGTAATAGAGGTAAAAAAAAACAATTTGGCAATACAATGGAAATACACAATTAGATCATTTTTGTTCATTGTATACTCTGCATAACTTTATGTTTTTGGTTTGGTTTAAGGTGGGATGAAGTGTAATCTCATTAAAAAAGATGCTTGTACATAACATTCATTACATTATCATGTTACAAGGTGAGCAGAAAGAAATATCTCTGGGTTATGATTATTCGTCGTTTATAAATATAGATATAATCATTCAACTTAACGAGTTACAGATTTACTAATGTATACAAATATGATAAGATAATTATATTACAATACCAAATACATGTACTTATTTTCAATTTAAATGTGGACTTTTGGAATGATTTCGTTCACGTAGATATTATTTTGGTTACAACTTGGGTCTTTGGGCTATTAGTTATTGACCTTGCAATGCGACCTACAATTGTGGTTTAATTCAAT